GATTTTCTGCACATCCCACGAAAAATGCCCTTTTTACATAAATAAATTCATTTGGTAGCTAAATAAAGCTATCTCAGGTAGGTAAATAAAGTTAATTAGATAATTAAATCAAGCTACGTAGCTAAATCTAGTGATTGTACTGGACTTGTTAAACTTAGAGTTAGACAAACTTGTTGGGTACACCTTAATTGGCACTAACACAATCAGAATAAATCATGACATGACTTTATCAGAAATGAAATACATGTTTATCCATTGTATAACTAAGAAAATAGCCTACCTTTTTTCCAGTAAGAGAATTTGGCTTTAAAAGTAACACTCAGGGATCCAATGCCTTTCTCTTTATGTTGACAGCCATTACTATCATCTGATTGGATAATCTCATCACATGTCACAGCTGTTTGGAACTCTTCTAGATTTTTCATTTTTGGTGATAAAACCAAAGACATTCCGAATGTATTCAATTTCAGCTGACAGGAAAGTCCAACAGTTGGACTAAATTTGACAGACAAATCTCAGACAAATATTTATTGGGTATATGTCCTGAAATACCCAAGTAATGCCTCTGGAACACAATGCAAGTAATTGGCTTATTGGGTATACCCAACAAGCCGAAAGTACCCAATAAGTGTTACAAGGGCAAAAATCATACCCAATTAATGTCTTCTCGTGAGAGCAGCTAGACGGACGGACGGACGTACAGACGGATGGATGGACAAACATCCCATTACTATATACCGTTTCTACCTGTTTTTCAAGCGGGGGTATAATAAGTCACGTTTACAATGAAGAAAACATCGAAGAGTGAATTTATAATAGTATTTAAAATGTGTATTCGGAACTGGTAAAATAAGAACACGAAAATATTTCGATATCTTCCAGTGTTCTAAATATTTATTTTTGGCAAATTTTTAGTATATGTTAGAGTACATATCAAACTTACTTTTGATACCTGGAACGTTGTTTTATGTAAAAAATTTATGCATCTACAGAGGTTTTTCTGCAGACTTACGCGTCACGGTGATTCAGATTTGTTGCATTGTAAAAGCATGTCGACTCTTTCAAGTACGATAATGAAACCAAACTGAAGGCAAAAAATCAAAACTTCACATAATTCAAACACTCATAGATAAGCCTTCTTACCATAGAAATCAATTTATTTTTACACCGTTGAATTTATTAATTATCAGTCCTTAAATTACTAATTATTCGGAACTGGCCAAAATCCGGAACTGGCCAAACGACTGTACTTTGACCAAATATTAATAAAAACTGCCGAGTTTTGACAATACACTTATAATCCCAAAATTCTATTTTTTAAAAGCATTTCGTGTAATCCTGAAGTAAGGCAAAACATTTTCAACAGTGGAAATCTTGCAATATGTGTTTGGTTCCGAAATAACAACTGAACCTTAAATTTGTGAGGATGATATACCGGTTATTGATATTTTCAGAATTTTTTCCCAATGCAGTGTGAAAGTAACAATCAAAATGAAAAGTACCACATGAAAAAACATATCTGCTTTAATTTGATCAATTCCGAATTATAATTTTCATACTGAAATACTGTATATACGCACATTATGTACCATAATAAGTGCCACGGTTCAGTTATTTTTTCAAACATTTTTTCCTTTTCGTAGCAACTTTATAATGACATTGCCGCAAGTCTGTTTTGAAATTTTCTGACGAAAGAGAATTTATTGTGAAAGGCAGGAAAATCTTGGAGAGATTTATAGGCAGAAAATTCAATGTTCTATATAGTAGTTGCTATAAAATTTATTTTACAAGTTAAGACTTTTTTTTAAAAATCATATTTACTACGAATTATAAATATTTGAATTCTATAAACCCCTTTGTCCATACACCGAAAAATATTCTCCATTTGTAACATGTTAAGAATTTAATTGTTTTGAAATAATAGTTCAACTTTGCAGTTACTTATTAGGGGAATAGGAAAATAAAAAGGGTTAAATTATTTGACTTATTTGCTTTTACTTTGAATTGACACAACTTTACAATTCGCCCTTGAAATTCTAAAATGATTTTTTAAAACGATTTATATGTACTCTGTTTCAGATAGAAGCGTAATATATTACCGGTATTTTATCATATTTAGAGGTAAACAGATCTGTCATTTTAAAATAATCTATTTTAATTTAATCTTGTATTGGACTTCTGATATGTTTTTCTTTCTTTTTTATCATTATTTCTTGTAAAAAAAAAAATTGTGTGCAAAATCTGTGTATTCATTTGCGTTTTTGCGTAAAGGGCGCTACGCCACTGTCAGTCATATCGACAGCAAGGAATCCTTGGAGGAAGAAGGGTAAAAATTCAAATTAGTTATCCCATAATTCAACTGAACATTGATTAAATCCGATTTTATTAAACACTAAATAAGTAGAGTTATCTTTTCTAATGTAGAAATTAAACATCAAATATGTCAAATGAAAAGGTTTATTGGCAGAGCAAATGATGATTATCTCTTATATTGATAAATTTATAAGCATCAGGGTAACATGAATAGTGCGGGCAGAATGGCATAGTTAGTAAACAAAACAATATAATAAACTGTTAATGGCTTAATAAAATTTCATTTGATTGTCTTTATTTTTGGTACATATTTCTAACAACCAATTAAGCAAGATGACAATTTTTTTTTCATTGTCATCTTTCCTTAATTATGAAATCTCGTATCCCGATATCACCTATCTATAGCATTTGATGCCCAAAAGAAGGCTCCAAGTACAATCAATATTTAAACCGATGCAGACTGCTGACAGATAGGTTGATTTTACAGGGATTTCAACAAACTTGTTTTAAAATCAGCATGGTCGTATAATGTTCTTGTTAAAAATAACGTTTCAAACAAATTGTTAGCCCTTTTGTTTTTGTGTTTTTTTTTTAATACCGAATTTGACTACTTGGACACAAGTATACATGTGCTTTATCTTATATTTACTAGTATTACACGGTTATAAACTTTATTCGTTTAAAAAAAATCAAAAATTTTTTAAGGTAAAAAACTTCCTTGTCAGTCGATGCCGTGTCAAAATGGAGGGACGTGCATCAATACATACACGTGCACGTGTAACGGAGATTGGAGTGGACAGGATTGTTCAAGTAAGTTTTATGTGCATGAATGTGCACATCTTTTAATTAGATTTTGTCAATTGAATATAAATGGAATTTAAAACACGATACAGACATTATACGCATGTATATTAGAATTTTATTTCAGTCATTTTATGCTGTCTTAAAGTCGAGGATAGAGACTTGCTGGATGAAATATAATATACAGTGGACCCTCATTAATCCGGACGCTTTGGTTCCCATTCAATTTGCCCGGATATGTGAAGCATCCGGATATCAGAATCACCAGTTAAGGAGGCTCATTACACCACTTTTTGATGACGTACTACACAAAAAAATACACCTCCATTGTGTCGGCCGGTTGGCTCAGGGAACGAGTAGTGTAGGAACCTTTATAATATGACCCTGACCTTTAAAACGCTTTAAAAATAGATGAAACATGCGGTGTTGTAAACAGTGAAAACAAAGTAACGGATTCATTATGCATAAACCAAGAAGAATTGCTTTTAGGCAGAAACAAAAGAAAGCAACAGTCAAATCTTCGCCAAACAAGTAATGTCAATTTCATAGCCATGCATGCAGTGAACTCTATCAATCACTGACATTTATGTATGGAAGAAATTCGAGTTAAAACCTACAACCTTGTTGAAATAATTAAAATTTTAGGGTCTGTAAGTCTCGTTAACTTTCACTTTCGTTTTCTAACTTCCGGGTACTTGGCGTTCTTGGAGACAATGATTTACCGCTTGGCATTTAGTTTTAAGCCTCGCGGTGGACTAGCAGAGCCTGTCATGTCGTTTGTTTCCCGATTATTGAAAAGAAGAGGATATAATGGATTGATTGATACAGGTAAACAGCGTTTAACTGCTTTATTGTTTTATTAAACGACGTACATATAACAGGTCCAGTACAATCTCTTGATTTAGCTATATAGCTTTAAATAGCTATATAGCTTTATTAAGCTATTCAGTATAGCTTAATTTAGCTATTTTACTACACTTTTTTCTTAAAGGTGTAATTTTCTCAGGATGTACAAAAAAGCGCACCTTGGTGCAGTGATAATATACAACTTTGAACTCTTCTTAAAATAATGCATGTAAAAATCACTCATCAAATTACGTCTCCTTGAGAGACTTTGGACTCAAAGTTTAACAAGTTTTGGGGCTATATAAAGCAATTGATACAGTTACTTCTGCAATGATATTATAATGGAGACCAATTATGTTCAACAAGATAATTGAATGGTAACAGTTCAGCACAATGAGAAGCAATCAAGCCTCAAGGCAGCCAAGGTAGTGGACAGTTAGTCTAACAAAAGAAATTCTCTTTTTGCTTAAAAGTATTCAAAAGCTGCAAAGTTAGAACTTTCTTTGATTTTGGTTGTTGTTTTGATAGCCCATATTACAAATATGAAGAGTCAAATACATGCGACTTTTTGTCTATTTTCAGCAAAAAACATTTCCGTGAAAAACTGTATATAAATAGCTAAATAAAGCTATTTTAAATAGCTTAATAAAGCTATATAGCTATTTAAAGCTATATAGCTAAATCAAGAGATTGTACTGGACCTGTATAAGCCATTCCGAATGGGTCACGATAAGCAGTGTGGTTGGCAAACATTTTAAAGCATAAAGGAAAATTAAAATATTTTTAAAGCTGAAATAATGTGTTTCCAAACAAAAACGTTCCCTAAAGATTGGTTTCTCAAATTTGTTTCATTTATTTAGCACACGGGACGGGTACATAGAATGGGGGGGGGGGGGGGGTGTGTTAACCAACAAAATAAGGTACCGGGTAAACACCAATTTTCAATGTCTAAATTATGTATATATTTGCAATAAAAGGGGGGCTAAAGCCTATGTATTATACTTGTAATACAGTAGAAATAAATAGATTTACTTTTCATGTAACTCTATCCAGAAATAAAAATGTCAAATATTACTTCTTTCATGTTACTCTATATATATTCAATTTCAATATAACTTGTATAGCCGTATGACTCCCTTCCCGAATACTCTTACAATTATGAGACAGACTTTTTTTTCTTTCTTAAAATAGGAATTAGAAATAGGAATATTTTTAATGAAGGCATTTGTCAGATAGATAAATCTAATGTTGTCTCCAAAAAGGCAATGACTGGGTCCATAGGACATTCATACTTTAACGATAGAACATTTTATTTACATTTGTCATCATATTTTATAGGGATCCAGCAGATACAGAAAAAGGGACAACACTTCGACTGAATGTGTCATCCATATACTGGTATAGATCTGTTCTGTTCATGAGGCATACATACTGTAAATGTATTACATTTGGTGTGTATAATATTTGGTGGAAATTCAATTTTCAACAAGTTATCATTCTATTAGATATCTGAATGTGCTAGTTATTAAATTCATATTCAAGACATTTAGTGATGTACTTGGATAGGCAGACTATGTTTTCCACTAAATAAAATATATGGCTAAATGAAGGATATGGAAATGTAATATGTTTACATTATGTATAGTATTTCTCATAATTCTTATACAGTATACTCATGAAGAGTGTGACAACTTCCAAGTAGTTAATGATGGAATTTATTTTCCTTTGTATCAAGTAAATTTTGGGCTGCTCTTTTTTCTTTCTTCATTATCAAACCTACTAGTTCATTTATTTATCAAATTCAGGAAAGCTCACATACAATGATAAATAAATTAAGTTGAATGAACCATAATACTAGTTAAGTTTGGCACATACTTTCTTATTAAATATCAAATTTGATTGGTAAAAACATTTGTTAACAATTACTTTTCTCCTTCGGTGTGCCTAACATTACATCCCTATGATTCAAAATGCATGTCGATACATGTAGGTACATGTAAATTCTCCATAAAAATAGCTAACTGTGCAGTGTTCGCACACTTGTTTCAACGAATGACATTTTCTTAAAAATATTTCAGAGTAACAAGACAAATATTGCATGTTTATTTTGATACACTATACATGAACTTGAGAAAAAAATTAAGGAAGTTGACATTGTATATTTGCTAGTTACTTGTGTAATTAGTTATATATTAATATATTAAGGATGTACACAGGCATAATATATCACTGTTAATATTTGAGAAAGTATTCATTTTTTGTGTAGATGCTCACTTCCACTCTAATACATTTGCCAGGTTCTTGTGAAAAGTGTTTTATTTGGCACCATTCAGCTACAAATACCCAATGTAATCTTTGCCGGTGGAATTGTGACCTCAATCAAGTGAATCAACTGCTGCAAATTGTTTCAAACATTTTACACCTGCAGGTTAGTACTTATAAAATTTTGTTTGAAGGAAAATAAAGGCTAACAAGATCTGAAAATACAAGCCAGATTTAGTACAAAAGTGTTGATACTAGTCATTTAAAAATTTCATTTCTTTGCAGTTAGTGATGAGTGCAACAGAAGTTTTTATCGGGACCTCGTCCGACATCATAGGTACAACTGGTCACTGTGATTTCTTAAATAACAGGACATATTGTGAAGGCGCCTAGGCAGTTACATATGTACACGTGGCTCCAAATGATGCTTGACTGTTTTCCTTCACTTTATACGTAAACCTGGATTGGTCTTTGATGCAATAATACAGAGCCATGTCATGTTTTAAATCCCATCTTCCCACAGTCAGGTGCTGAAATAAAATGATTTTGATTTTAAATATATATTTTTTGTTTTTATGAAATGTAACAAAACATTTTATAGAAATTAAAATATTGTACAAGTGGAAATTTTAGTGAGATCATGATGCAAATTTAGTAATTTGTCCTTAAAATTTGGTATTTTCTATTTAGCGAGAAGTAATTGTAGCGATTTTTAAAAGATTACTAATTTTATAATATTTGTATATAAGTATTTTCATTAAGGTTTCGTCAAAGGTCAACATGTCCAAAAATTTATTTTTACAATAACCCCAAAAGTATGTAAGGTATAAAGTTAAAACTTTTACAGTTTATAAATTATTTATTGATTAACAGATAGAAAGTATCACTTGATAAAAAAAAATACTTGGAATAATATTAATTGAGAAAATTCTTCTTAGAAATGCATATATTTTCAAAAAAAATACACCTACTTAATTCCATGCTTTTAGTGAAAACCATAATTGCAGAAACAAAATATGTTTATCAATGAAGGGCAAGTTGGACTTTTGTTTTCACTGTTTATTTTGTCCAAATGTTAAGACTTGAAAGTGAAAGTACACTGCAAATGGCGGGTTCTATAGGGGTCTTGTCTTTATACGTCATGCTTTCAATAACAGCCTTTCAGAGACCATTCGTGTCCAACTTGCCCTTCAATGATAAACATATATTATCTCTACAATGTTGGTTTTCATCAAAAGGACAGAATTAGGCAGGTGCACTTTTTAAAAATATGCACATTTTCTGATGCAATTTTTCTCAAAATATATCTTTTTAAAAATATTTGTTATCAAGTAATACTTTCTATCCATTAAACAGTGATATATTTACAAAATGTAAACGTTTTGACTTCATACCACACATACTTTTGGCGCAATTGTAAAAATAATTTTTAGACATGTTGACCTTTGACGAAACCTTAACATAATTATTACACCTAAAACACATTTAATTTTCAGTGATATTCAATTTTAGCAATTTCAGAAACCTAGCTGATCATGCCTCGATCGCTAAAAATTACGCTTACACGGAATTTAAACTACCAATTGAATAAGTATCTTAAATGAAAATCTTTTGAAGGATTTTCTTGTCAATTCTTTGCTGATAGGGTTACTTACCTTTAATGATGTCATGACAAGTGAGGCACATGGCTGGTCTTCACGCTGGATGAGTTTTTGATCATATCAGTGATGTCCTAAGATTTCCAGATAAGCTGACAAAAACCTGTAATTTAGCAAACTTCTGTAAAATTTCATTCGAATTATTGCACAGTTGTTCCAGTATGCATTACTGATAATTTAGGTGTAATGAGTTATAAATCTGGTAAATATCCATTTATTGGATATTTAATACAAATCTTAACCTTCTTCATTAAATTTTATCAATATTTTTACAAGAAAAACAGAATGAAATTGTCCTTTTTATACCAAAAAATGTCAAAGGCCTTTTCATAAAAAAAATTGATTTAAAAATATTTGTTTTACACACTGTTTTCATATATATGTCCTAGAACTTATTCTGCTGCATCTGATCAATTTCATACCTGTATTTGATTTGCATTTTTAAGGAGTCTGATCATTCAAGTCAGTTTAGTCAGTTTAGTGCTTGACTGGATCTTTCAGCAACAGCATATTTCATCTTTGTTACTGCCTGGTTCCCTTGTACTTCTGCTATAAAATAAGTTTTAATGTATATAATTGTATGAGATTGATGAATAAATAAAGAGGAGAAAATGCAGTGGACCAGACTGGGATTTGAACCCAGGCCACATGAAACTCCGGTCAGGTGCTCTACCAACTGAGCTATCTGGCCACAGGCAATCGATCCCCGCTGACCGCCACATTCCTCCCTCCTTAAAGGTCTTTAGACCCCAACCCCGGCTCATTCCTGGCAGGTCTTTCACCTGTCAGTTCCAGGGCATGGCACTAGGCCTGAGTATCGCAAGCTATCTAACGATACGATACATATCACGATATGGTCTTGCGATACAACATGTATCATGATACAGCTGTCAACAGTCAAAATTTATAGTATATTTAAGTATTCTTGCTTATTAACCTCTACAGTTATAGAAAATACTTAAGAAAACTATCTTGAGACCCAAAATCAAAATTACTAGAGGAGGGCATATAGCCTAAGCATTTTGATTTTTCATTGTAACTATTTTCAATCATTTTGTAATATTAATATTCACAGTTTTGATAAAGAATTTTAAAATAAGACAATGAACATTAACTTGTACTGTATCAAGATACATACATGGCGATACGATATGCGTATCGTGAGACCTTGCGATAATACGTATCGATATATTGCTGTATTGTTACACCTCTACATGGCACAGCACCAAATGTAGTAGGAAAGGAGAAATGCAAGAGAAAACTTGTGGCTGGAACAGGAATTGAACCCGGGATCCCTGTTAGGCTGTATCAGGTCCAGCACAATACCCCGATAAAGTTATATAGCTTGATAAAGCTATATACATGTAGCTTTATAAAGGTATTTAAAAGACCTTGATCCAGGTATTTTATGGAATGAACATTCAAAAAAATTCTTTAAAAATTAAATACTGAAAGTTGAGTTCTTAGTTTTTGTCAGTGTGTCCACTCGTGCATGAAAAACACTCTGGTATCAAAAAGAAAGCATAAAAAACGTCTCCTCACATGACATTTTTATACTGATTTGTTTATGTTTGAACACTTAACATGCATGGGTGAATATACTGACAACAACTCAGAACTCGACTCTCAGTAATTAATTTTTTTTAAAGATTTTTTTTTAATTTTCATGACATAAAATACCTTGATCAAGGTATTTTAGATACCTTGATAAAGCTATATAGCTTATTCAAGCTATATACCTTTATTGGGGTATTGTGCTGGACCTGTGTATTACTAGTCAGGTGTCTAACCACTGAGCTATCCAGGCTGATATCTATGGTCCATAAAGCCCGAAATTCTACACATGTATGTTTACTTTGTTAAATGTTGAATGCAGCGAAATACTTCAAATAGCAAAATATAATATTACATCTTATCTTTGGGAAATAGATCTTAAATAGGTGATCCTATATGTGACACACAACAGGTAAATCTTTATTCAAAAAAATATATTTACCGATGCA